TTTGAGAAAAAATGAGTTGTTTATTTTACAAGCAAGTTAAATGAATTCTTGGATTCGTATTTTCAATAAAAACGTCTTTTGTATGAAATAAAAATTTGCCATAATGTAGACAAATATTGCGTGATATCCTACTCGAAAACAAATCGCTTAAATAAAACTATACTCAAGATAAATTTTATAGCTATCCTATAGCAGAATGTACTGGGTTAGTAGGGCAGAAAGAAACATTTATATAATAAGCATGACATGCACAAATGAATAATACAAGTTTATCTGCATTTTAATAAAAATCTCGAGTAACTTAGTAATGTTATACTTAATATAATATCGAAGTCTGAATTTTGTTACATTATGTTCATGCAACGATTAAGTTGCAGTGTTCTTTAAAATTCTTTATAAAAATTCTAGTGATTCATAGTTAGAGCATGGCATTTATCATATTTTCAATTCATTAAAAGAGATTATTTTTAAAGAGAATAGTACGTTTTGGTTTATCGCCATTAGAATACTTTACTCATATTTTAATTCAGTTTCTAATGTTTCATTACTAACTTTTTGCATTGGTCGCCAAGGAATGTTGGTAGTCTTGTTTTCAATAAAAGTTCGAATATTTCTATAAACTATTTATTCGACGAATAGTGCACTTTAACGTGCATAGTTTTCTCGCTTTCTCTAAGCACAACTTTATGACTGATACTGATTACAATCATCTTTGATTTTTATTGTCTCTGTTTTTGTATTTTTATATCTTTTACTATGTTCTGTTCCTTCAACAATGAAATCGATGCATTATGAAAATATTTACCTATTTCTCTTTGTTTTTTATATCTCTTATCTTTCATCGACGAACTTATATGATTATAATAAAATTGAATTGAAAAAAAAATAGACATATGTAGTATTCTCATTGGATAAATAATTTTGCAAAGATCATGGCTGTTTTTTACTTGTATACTAAAAATTCCTTTTAAAAGAATCTCAGTTGTTGTTTGACAATCATAAAAATTATCTATTTCATAAATGGAACTCATAGAGATAACGAATACATGTGCACTGATCTAAGAAATGTTGAGTTTTACTCAAGAAAAACTCACATACACGGAGAGAAAAAAAACAAGACTCATTAAAAAATTTATTTATTGAAAATATTTTGTATGTCAGTATGCATTTTTACTAAGATATACCAGAACATATGGTGCTAAACTCTAAAGAAGTATAAGTTTATTACTGAGCCGTCCATGTGTCGTTTTTCACTACGGAACGCCTATAAGCTTCGAAAAATGAAAAACATTTCTCGCTTTTTGTGTCAAATCTTTTTGGGTTCAGAGAAAACCGACTGATTTAGTATCTTTCATACTAAATCATTTCTAGGTTCAGAAAAATAGCGCAAAGGTTTTTTTACTCTTTTCATATGAAATGAACGTAACTTCTTAGGATAAAAAATTTCGATAGTTTTGTCCGATTCCAACGAGCTTCGTACTCGTTTAAGGAACTTTCGGTGGTATCCAAGCGATAAAGTAATCATGCAATCATCATTAGTCTACTCGAATCTTTGTCAATACTTATATCATACATAGTGTCTTCCCGTTTGTAACATTTATGTGCGTTCACTGTTTTATCATGAAATGAATGAAAGTCCACCACACACTCTCTCCTCTAACTGGCAAGGAAAATAGTTTTATTCTTAATTTCTTATGTTGAAATCAATATTTTTCTGAGAGTCAAAAATCATGATGCTGATTGTGATACTCTTGACGTTCGTACTCGAGTTTTCTTTGAGAATTTTTTTACACTGATAGTGTTTAAAACAGTTATTCATTGCTCTAATCGGTATTCAAATTATATAAAACATCTCAATGAGATGAAGTTGTTGAATTACTATTTTGAAACATTATTTGAAAAAAAGGAAAGCTAATACAATTATTTAAGATGGAAAAAATTGCTAGACACAATAACGACAACAGAACGAAATACTAAGCGAGATATGCATGTTAAATAAATATGAACGACACAAATGAATAAGTGTTCTTTATTGAATAGACAAGCTGTATTATGTAACAAATAAAGTGAGAAAAGAAGCACGAAGAAAGAACTGGAGAATGCTCTTTCGTTTTGTTCCGTTGCGTACCAAGAATTTTCTAAGACGCATAAAAAGAGAAACGAAAAATTACTTTTCTTTTCTTATCCGATTTTGTAGTGGCACAATATTGCTGGTATTTTCAATTAAAACGAGGTGATAGCTCAAAAAGATGAATGCCCAAGAAACAACAAAAAAGAGAATAACAGACGAAAGAGTTAATGGGTAACAGAGAGAGAAGTAAAACATACAAAGAATAAACATCAACATACTGACAATTATGAATATCAGTTTCAGGATTTGGTTATTGAGAAAAGACTCTCGCTCAATTACATGTAACATTATGTAAGTCTGATCAAGATATATCAACATAATGCAAAAGACACTCTATATATGCACACTGGGCCATGTGTCATATGAAAATACTGTGACACCGTCAAAAGTATAGTAAAAGAGAGAGAGAGAGAAAGAGATACGTTCTTGGTAGTTTAGCGAAGAAAGAAAGTCATAGCAAAAAGTAAAGATCTCTACCCTTCTTCGATATAAGGTTATTGAAAAAGTATCATGACTTGGTTTTTGATTAATTATTAATCGTAATAAATGTTTTAAGCATGAACATATTATTAAGAATCAGTTTATATCTAAAACAAAACATCTACAAAAGAATGCATTTTTTGATGTCATTCAACACTAATGAGTCATATTTGACCCAAGTTGTTTCAAAGAATGACCTTTCAACGTGTTGATTCAATAGTCTGTGAAAAGATTCTGAATAGATAGTTGATGCCTTATTTAACATATATCAACCGCTCAAACAAATAAATGATCAATCTGTTCTGATGAAAAAAACAAAAAACAAAAAGAAATTGGATTTTTCGACTTTTTTGAAAAATCATGATTTTCCAACTTAAATATTTCTAACAATAGACAACGAGAAAAAATTTAATTCTTTAGCGCTTTATTGCATACTGAGTTCTGTAGATAATGTCAAAGAACTGTCTTGATTCGACACTTTATTGCTCCAAACAGATAAGTTTTCTAAATGTGTTACAAATGACCCATTTGGGGTATAGGATTGATAAGAAAGAACAGTCTCGCCACGTCTAAACTCAAATAATAGAAGTTCATGCCAACAAACTAATATCACGTGTCAATCGAACAACTATTACATTACGTATGGATCATTTTAAAAGTTAATTAATCTTTTCTTTTATTTTTCCGTTCATAAATGCACATGTAATACCAATTAGTTTTCTTTTTTTCTAGTTTGTCATGTAATTTTTTTGTCTCAATTTTTCATTGACTAAAAGAATATTACATTTCTTATTAGTTTAGACATCATTAAAAATATACGAGAACAATCAACAGGTGATATCAAGATGGAACTTATAAATACTGCTTGTTCTTATGGATTAAATTCAAGGATGTTTGTTTCGTATTATTACGTTATGAGGACTGTGGTAATGATTGATCTGTGGATTTTTCATGTTCTTGATTTAATAAATTAGTTCATTGTGTTAGTTGATTCAGATAACATTAATTTAAATTAATATCATGAAAAAGTTTGTTTCAACAATGTGTTTCTTTTCTTATTCAAGTCTATTTATTAGAATTTTTCAAATTATGTCTTCTAAATATTGGACATTGACAAACTAATTGTCAAATATTTCTTGGTAATAAACAAGACGAAACGAAAATATCACCAGATAGTTCTCGTCGAAAAACTGAAATAATATGAATTGATTTTTCTTTTCATTTATTCTTTTTTTTAGATTCACTTCTAATTCCGATGTTCATTTACAGGATGGGTGTGGGTGTCGTTCTTCTCTTCATCCACACCCATGCCCACCCACACCCCACATCCACCCTTGTCAGAAATATTGAGGAACAATCAACAGTCATCACTAGAGATAGATAATCTTAACTGCACAAATATCCTAAATGCAAATATGCATGCAATCCATAGCATTAAATAACCAAAAGATCACGTTTTTTAAAGCTATCCAGTACGCAAAGTTTCAGGACGAGAATTCTCGTCGCCCGTACTCAATGGGTTAAAGAAGTTATTCACGAAGATTCGAGGCCTCACAAAACATTTCAAACTCGTTTATACGCGTTTTTCGCCGGTTTTTCTCCTGAATAGACGGGCGAATAAACACTTGTAAAAGTATTGAAATGACCTGTTATCATTTTCGATTTGACTGTACTCCGCTTTTAGCGAATATCATACGTGTTTTCGTGAAACATTAGTTTTCCTTTATCCGTGATAAAAAAAATACATGTGACAAACTTCGGAAAGAAATTCAAATAGTAGATATTGAATGAATGGGTATCGAATCATTATTTTAGCTGCTAATAGACAGACTTGCATGAAAGCAATAATTCTATATTTAATCACTCATGTCAGATACGAACGATTCTTGTGGTTCAACAAATATTTTTAGACGAAAATCAAGAGTGTCTGTATTTGAACTATTGAGAAGGGTAGCGACAAAACAAATATACGTTTGGAATTTCAAAAATGCTGCGCGAGTGAGGTTTCTTCCTGTTTCGCGCAGTTGAAAAATCTCTGCAACTGCTGCACGAGAATGACAATCTCAAGCGATGGCAAATCTATCTCATCACAGTAAATCATTGGAGCTTTTACGAATCCGACAGTTTTCTGCTGTACATAGTTGACCTGGAAATTCTAGGAACTACTGGAAAAGTTATCGCGAATAACGTGTCAGCATTGTGATTATAGGTTTTAATCTGAAAATTAGACCTTTCGAATTTTTACACTCTAACTTCAAAGTTTCTCGAGTTATTTTGTCGTTATCATTCACCACTGACTAGCAGCCAATAAGGAACATATGAGAAGTTAATAAATTTCGTGATAGTTTCTTTATTTACAAAAGATACAAAGTCATGAGAAATACATTCTCTAGTTAATTTTCTTATTGACCAAATGTGTTGTATTTCCGACAGTACTCTTTCTTCCCGCATGAAATGTTTGCTTGATTTTGGTCAAAAAGGTAACTGGTACATGCCAATGATGCAGATAAATTGTAGTAACATGGAGACCTGGATCTTCTCGAATTTTTGTAACAATGAATAAATTGCCTGGTAGAACTAGCACTTCATGCTCTTGAATATATTGAGAAATATCTTCAATGCCAAAAATAGTTGATGTTGCTTTCTGTATCTCAAAAACAAATAGAACGTTCCTCTGATCAGCAGTTGGTGGATTTTTAGTTGCAAATCTGAGAGCAACAAGTGGATCTGTTGATGTCGACGTAAATGCTTTGAGACCGAGAACACCTGGCGGATCACTAGACAAAGCATGTTCATACACAGTTAAATCGGCTGCAGGCAACGTAGCACCACGATACACGGTACCTGTAAATGCACGTTGTTTGAGTTCATGACGGCGAATATAAAACTCGAGAATGAATCGGTCACATAAGTGAGGACTTTTTGCAGCATCGTTGGTCGAACGAGTCAATTGCTTATTGAATGGACGATAGAAACCGGCCAGTTCATTAGTATACAACCTAATTAATGGTTCAATCGAGTTGCGCCGTTGGGCTTCATTGACTGATCTGATTGTGAGTTGATAGTGAACTGGATCGGACAGATTGGATTTGAGAAACTGCTGAAAATCGCCGTGTTGCAACAGATCAAACTGCTCAATATGAAACTCTTCACGTTCAATAAATATACGAAATGTATGCGCGAACCAATTGTAAAATTTCAGCCACATTGCTGTTGTTTGTTGATTGAGTGCATGTTGGAAAATTTCTTCTTCTGTTTTAAAAACTTGTACAAAATGTTGTGTTTCATTTACTGCTGGATCTCTATCGTTTTCTTCTGGCAAGTAGACAGCGATTGCATGAGCTACATCCAACTCATGAAAACGACCAGTAGAATCTGCTCGTTCAAATAATTGTTTCATTTCAGGACTTCGTGCGTCTTCGTAAGCAGTACGACCGAAATGATTTAGTTCTGTTCGAGAACAATTTCGATCAAGTAAAAGCTTCACAATATCTCGATGTTGGTAAAATGTGGCAGCGTGTAATGCTGTGCTCCCGTTTGGCTGCAGTTCGTTCAATTGTTCGATTGACGGTGCGTCTTCAGCATCAAGTACTTGACGCACTTTGTCTATTTCACCATTACGACAGAAAAAATAAAAATCTGATGCTTGACCTGGAATGTATGTGAGCGACGTTGCTCGTTTACGTTTTTCACGCCACATGAGCTCGAATGGACTCGGAGGGAGTTTGCCACTAGTGGGAGCGCTCAATAGATTACCCATTTTTTACAAAATATATCTGAAAACAAAGAGCAAGTAACTAGCTATGTGCTTATCGTACATTTAATTTATATGTTCTTTTGTAAGTTTTCTTGTGCTGATGATGTTAAGACAACGTGTATTTATGCATCAGGACACGAGATAATTTTTTGTATGAAGATAAAATGCTGTACTTAATTTATCAATAGATGGCAATCAATAAACTAAATCCATTTGAGTAAGCGGAACAGCTTTGATTCAACAAAAAATTTTAAATTCTGAGATTGTTTTTCTGACGCATTAGTTTACTACTAGTTTGAACATATCCACTTCTCTTTCAAAAACAGTAAAGATAAGAATATGTTCAAGTACAGTTTTCTTTTTCGTAATTGTCCTATTTCGTGTAGTATGACAGTGCGGTGCTGTGATCACAATTGTTACTCAAAGTTCATTTGCAATTCGACTACAATCTAAGTGCACTCCAAAGTGGACTTTATTCAAGCTTTCGAAGAAAAATACACGATGCGTATGATCGAAAATGGTGAGTAAATCTCGTCGTCTTCTGTGCGTTCAATACTTTCAAATAGACACTCTCAGTTCTGATCTCTAATCGCAATTACAAACTACACTGATATAAACTGGAGAAAGATACAAAGAGACAGCTGTATCCAAAATATTTTAACATCGGTTATTTCTTTGTTGTTCAAAATGCACATCCTCATGAGAAAAGCTATAATGCATCTGATATAGTTAGCATATTTTTGCTGACATTCTTTAAACTCCTAGAAAAATCTTCTCTATCTTTTGAGAAGAGACTTTGTTTTTTATGTTACTTTAATCCCACCATTTACTACTGTATACAACTTATTAATATTTTGAAAAACAAAACGGAAGTTGAGTTTTAATTCTTAGCGCTATTTGGTAACGAATATTTAGCTAACTTTTAGAACGAAATTTCCAGCTCTTTCTCTACCGTAAGAGAGAAAATTATTTTTTTGTAAAACGAGCTATGACGCTTAAACTGGGTCTTTTGATGAATCAAATGAGCATTTTCAATAGATACAACGACAGAATAAGAGAAACAGTTTGGGATCGAACTACCGTATCTGGTGATAAAAAATACGAAAAGCCAATTTTTGGGTATGAATATATAACATCATTTATTGATTAGTTGAACATTGTGGTAGAGATAGAAACGAAAGTTACATACTTACAACGCAAAATTTAGTCAACTTTATGCATTACTAATAGTTTTATGTTACAGTTAGAATGAGTATTCACGAAAGTGACGATACTTTTTGCTGTTTCTTCGGGCTTATCAATAGCCATAAAATGACCGCAGTCTTCGAAAACATTCTTTTCCGCCTTCGGTAATAATTTCATAAAGTATTCAGCTCCTTCAGCGGTATACACCTAAATAACCGAAAATTATATCTCAGAAACTATGCAAATAGTGTAACTTGACATACTCGATCTTGACGACCCCAAAGAATCAATGTTGGCTTGTCCATTTGTCGTAATTTCTGATAATATTCTTCAAGATGTGGATAGTCATATTCAAGAAGTGAAGATAGCACTATTCAAATATCGATAGCAGATATTGTAAGCTCCACATAATAGTATTACCTACCTTTTTTATGTTCCTCAAGCAGGCGTAATCTTAGATAAAGGAAACCGTTCAGAAATGGTCGAGGTAAATTGATCTTTTTCACTGTTAGTGTATTGATCATAGCATAGAGTTGTTCAGGTGTTTCCGGTAGGAGTGCACTGTATACACCTGAACGTAATTGTTGCATCAAATCAGTTTCACATTGTTCATTGGCTACATAGACTCACAGATATGAACTATGCAATATACTACGAAATTGATGAAACTTACCAGGAGGGGCTAACAAACAGATCATGCTCACATAACTTGGATATTTAACAGCAAACATTGAAACAACGGCACCACCCATCGATGCACCAATGATGCACATAGGATCAGTGAGATTTTTTCTGTCGAAAAACTACAAAATTCACACAATAAGATCAAAATAAAATAGAATATTTTTCAAAATTCCGTACCAGTTTGAGTGCATCCACAAACTTGTCAATAGAATAGTGTTTTTCATTCAATCCAACTGTTTCACCATGTGCAGGCAGATCAACGGTGATGCAGTGATAATTATTAGGAATGTTCTATATAAATGAAAAATCAACTCATCTTGTAACATCTAGCTAAATAATATTGATTGGCGTCTAAAGTGTATTTCATGAGAAGGAGATATACATATATGTACTGAAACAGTTCCAGATTTCTAATATTGTTTCTTTGGAGGTCAATACACCACATCACTCATCAGTGAACAAATAACAGACGCTTATCAACATACTTTTAAGCTCGGTTCGACAAAAACAGGATAGTTTTTGCAGGTTCTGTGACGGTAACAATTAACAAAGAGAACTTACAAGATAATAAGGTATTAATCGATCGATACTTATTATGTTCCTAGAAGTGTTGACGCTTAATCGATTCCTAGGTGTTTGTATGATGGGACATGGACCCAGTAGCGTCGGATACAAATACTAATTCATAATTTTGGGGTGTGGGAGTGGATGTGAATGTGGATGTGAGTGTGGGTGTGGGTGTGTCGATGTGGGTGTGGCTGTGGATGTGGGTGTGGATGTGTGGGTGTGGATATGGGTGTGGGTGGGTGTGAATGTGAATATGGATATGGGTATGGGTGTGGGTGTGGGTGGGTGTGGGTGTGGGTGGGTGTGGGTGTGGGTGTGGGTGTGGGTGGGTGTGGGTGTGGGTGGGTGTGGGTGTGGGTGTGGGTGTGGGTGGGTGTGGGTGGGGATGTGGATTCTGTTGAAGAGAAGATCCACACCCACACCCACACCCACATCCACACCCATACCCGCACCCACATCCACACCCACCCGCACCCATACCCACATCCATACACACCCACACTTACCCACACCCACACCCGCACCAACACCCACACCCACACCCTTGGGATACTAATATATGTTTGTGAACCTGGCCACGAAAGGGATCGCCTGGCCCAAGCTTTTTATGGGGCTGGCTCGGTCGAACGTTTTTATGCTTGTTTTTACTTTTCATCAGATATTATGTCTATTATAAGTGATAAAAATTCCCAGAAAAATTTTATGGTAGAAAACTATATGGATTATAATTCTAGAGATATAATAAATCATAGTAATTGCTGAAAGCGATTGTATCTCTTGTCCGCATACAGTGTTCTGTAGTATATCAAGCACAAACATTAATTAATTGGAGAATGTGATCGACAAAAAACGATGTGTCGAAAACAAAACCATCGTTAAGAGGCTAAACTGTAAGTAACAGTTTACTCAACTGTTCATCTTTGATTAGTGAGAGAATGTATGCAAGCATACCGTTGTCTGAAAACAAGGGAATCCTATGAGTTTTGTGCCACTTTTCTAAGATAAAGCTTTCTCTTGACTCCGTCCACCTAATGAAATAGTGCGTGGAAAGAAAAAAGTTTTGATACACAAAGTTTGGAGATTTAGGATACTTGACTATACGTGGAAGTCAAGTAGTACATAAAAATGAGCTGTATCTCTGAATTTTAGGTGTTAGAATTTTTTTGTTTTTGTACAAAGACGATCTTCGACAACGTCGCATCTCATTGAATGGTTAAAATCGGAAAAACCTTTCATTCCAATTACGGTACACTTCGCATGGTTTTATCATAATAAAAAGCTTTGTAGGAAAAGACGTTCACTTATACATAATGATCGTTATTATGTATAAATACTGTACAGCAGTTTTGTTTGTTCGTTTGATTTAACAAGCAAACTACCTGATCTGATATGGACTTTATTTCAATGTAAACCATCTGACAGAATCAAATTCGTTATATCATTGGTGGTTACCTAAGTGGTATCTAGATTCTATTGAGAAAAAAATCTTGGTAAAGGATATTATCCTTCGGATTCGTACTAGATTGGGCCGGATCGCGTTACGATAAAATGACCCATTTTGAACCCTGTTGTGAACTGACCTTGACAATTGGTAGCCATGTTTCCTTGTTTGACGATAGTCCATGAACGAAAATTATCGTCGGTTGTCCATCCATCTTAGAACCTTTCTCACTGTAACTGAACACAGCGGTTCCATCTTGATTAACTGGTAAAGAGTGCTTAACAAGACCAGCTTGATAAGTGGTGAATCTATATTCATGAAATCGTCGTTTACATTGATGTTTGACATTACTCTTTTACCTGTAGTAGAGTTGTATGAGCCATGCCTGCCTAGTAGTGTCAAGGTTATGTTTGAAACAAAATTAAACTAATCTACTCACATTTTTGTTCGTATGTACGATTGTACGGTTTTTTGCTGTCCTTATTTGTATTTGACGAAAATAGGAAAGCCAGAGAAAACTAAATTCATATTGCGTAGAAAATATGCTGTATTTATACTTCACAAGAAAATTTTTTGTCGTTTTCTTTCTTTTTCATCGATAATTGCGATATTTATTTCATGTACCATTACTTGTTTCAAAGTAGGAAGAATCCAACAGAAAAGGAAAATAAAATGTTGCTTTCTACGCATTACTCTTAATTGCTTTACGACCGCGTTTATATACTTCTTTTAACAACATGCAGTCATTAATTGCGCTGAAAAATATTTGAATTATATAATCAAAACTACAGATATATTTTTGAATATTATATTACGGTGCTTCTGATGAAATTTCTTGAAGATAATATGAGATCAATATCGGAAAATTGTTAATCGTTGTTCAAAATGAAAACTGGAAGACCGCTTTATGAATTACTTTAGCTGAACTAATATGTGACAGAATATTGCATTAGTAAAAGAATAATGTTTTAGATGAGCAAATTTTCAGTTGCAAGAAAATAGGATAATATCGTTCTTGTTTCCTATTTCGACTTGCCCAACCATGGCGAAATCACGTTTTTTTCACTTTCTTTCTTCAGTCTATCAACGCAGTCGAATGAGATAGGGGCTGATACTGCCAGAAGCTATACAAGTCGGATTGTCCTACCCATCATAAAAGTCTTCTTTGATCTCGCCTTTCGTTCATAGGTTTATAGTTGAAATATAGAGCCATGAAGAAATTACCAAAAGTGGTAAATAGGTTTTTCTTACATGACAAGCTATATTAGAAAAGAAATCAATTCAAATATAAACAGCACGGCTTCACATGTAGAAAAAAGTCTTGTGACAGAATCACGCTTTTAAAATTGTTGATGTTTTCATCACCATTTATTTCTTCAAAAAGTTAACTATGAAGCACTCGGATGAACAACTTGATAACATCGTAAAAAAACATCTGGCATCATCCTTTTGACAACGTAGAAACAAAATTATGAAAGCATGAGTTGGGTAGTTTTCTGAGTCCGCCGAAATAGATAGACTGTTACGTAGACAGATAATCCTCCTTTCACAAATCTCAATTGTACTTCTTTGAAAAATATTTCTTGAGTATTCACTGAAATGTTTCATTTGCTCATATTTATGTGTATACTGCTCATGTGTTCACATTATTTTATAATTTCAACCGCGAGAAGAATATACATTCGTTGTATGTTTCTTGATAGAAAGGGTAAATGAACGAAGACGTCCTGAATAACGAAGTTTATGGCAACGGTAATGGGGAAGCTTTTGTTTTTTATTCCCCAAACGATAAACTTCGTCTGCATGGGCGACATTGGCCACTTACAAATGGTGATTGTCGTGCTGTTGTACTGATTGTTCATGGATCAGGCGAACATTGTCAACGTTACAAACACGTAGCTTACTTTTGTAATGTTCAACAAATTGCCTTTGTTGGTTTTGACTTGCGAGGTCATGGTCTGTCAGATGGTGAGCGTGGCTATACGCCTAGTCTTGATGCTCTTTTTGACGACATCGAATGTATCATTGATCGCATTCATACTGAGCTTTATCCTGGTGTACCTCTGGTGATCTATGCACATGGGACTGGATCGCTTCTTTGTCTTTCTCATATCGTTCTACGACCTTTCAAACCATTTACCTGTCAGGCCATGATCATTAGTACACCTTCAATTTGTCTCAACAGACGTCCCACAGCATTATTGCTTTTTTTCTCACGTGCTTTTGCCAATTTGGATCCTCATTTTCGTTTACCTGTTCACGGCAACACTACGAATGTATATTGTAATGATAATGACGTTGTTCAAGCCTATCGAAATGATCCACTAGTTCATGATCGATGGCCAGCAACGACTGTTTCTATATTCATGGAATTAGGTGTTCTCCTGGAACAGAATACAGTTTACGTATCATGGCCATTATTGATTCAACATGGCAATGCAGATATTATAACGCCGATTGAGGGTATTCAAAAATGGGTGCAGCAGAGAGTGCGAGGTGATGTTACGTTTAAAGTATGGCCAGGCCATTTTCATGAACTGCACAATGATTTAGGAAAAGAAGAAATATTGTCTTATACAATAGCCTGGATCGAAGAGAAGTTGAACATTTGAATAAAACAAAATACAGAAACATTTTAATTCGTGTTCATATAATTGTAATTATACTGTGACATATTGTCTTAGAATCACAAAAACTCGCTGTCAATAATAAACTGGAAGTTGTGATGCAGATATACATTAACAATCAAATAGATCATCTCGTATAGCGATCAGAACAATCCTCAAAGAATAATGTATTTTGATATCGTAGTGGGTGTGGGTGTG